CCCATCCTGGCCTTCAGATTTAACACACGCGATGCTATTACCGGCCTGGTGCCTCTACCTACCACCGAAGGACAGAAAGCTCCTCTGTACTTCTTGGCGACAAGCCGAGATACAAAGTACAGGATCTATGAGATTGAAGATCTCGGCGAGGAAGTTCGGTTGCACCTCCAGCATGAGGTTGCAGCTCCCTCTGGTGCTGAAATAGAGGGGGGATGGTTCACACAGGGCTCGTCTCCCGAATTGATCTTGTACGGCTTCAAGAGCAAGAACTTTATCGTCTGGAACGAAACTCGGCGAGAAGAGATTGCCTCGATTGATTGCGGAGGTGCTCATCGGACATTTACCATTGCACATGACCCTGTCGACCACAACAAAGTTCGTTTCGGGTACACAAGAGTCAGCAAACTTTACGTCTTCTCGCAGCACACGCCGATGCACCGACCGCTTAGGTATGGGACACACGGCAGAGAAATTCGAGGTTTGAGCGCAAATGGCCGATACATCGCGACTGGTGCTGAAGATACAACGGTTCGTATCTGGGAGTATGAAGACCAGCAGTCCAGACAGAAAGGTGGTGGTGGTCTGCGATGCGTCGCTTCCACCAAACTACATATTTCAGGTTTGCAAAAGATCCACTGGGTTGAAGATGACTATCTTCTCAGCAGCGCTGGCTTTGAAGAATTTTTCGTGTGGTCGGTACGAAGACTAGACTCGCAGTACAAAGGACTCGGCATCCTGTGCGAAGGCATTCTCGAAGACAAGAGCCCTGCTGCGGACCTTCGAATCATGGATTTTGACGCTTGCAAGGACGCCCACGGAAATATCATCATCACCATGATCCTGTCCAACTCGACCTTGAAAACATACCGATACACACCAGGAAAGGGCTTCCACCTTTTGGCCCGCATGTCGTACACGGGAGCCTGTTTGACACAAGTTCGCCATCTCGGGGTGAACGAAAAGGGGCTTTCAGCACTTACAGCCTCTACGGATGGACACTTGACGACCTGGGAAGTAAGTTTTGATGGGGATGAAACATCTAGTCATGTGCTTGTCCAAGTGGCTCCAGTGCATCAAAGCAGTGTCAAGTGTCTGGACCTCCACCCAACACCTGAAGGCTTTTTAGTCCTGACAGGTGGCGATGACAACGGTCTTGGTGTCACGACACTTGTCGCCATGTCGAATGAGATGGGTAACCGCAGATATACAACTTCAAGTCGTGGAATAGTGCGCAAAGCCCATGCAGCAGCAATCAACGGTCTTGTGCTGGTGCGACGTGAGGCAGAAACGTTTGGCATTACTGTCAGCAACGACCAGCGCGTCAAGGTCTGGAGTGTGAAGCCGGGCAATGTGAGACTAGTGGCCGACTCCTACAGCGGAGTTGCTGACCCTGGCGACATCGCTATCGTGGGAGAAAACGGGGACGTTGATGGCGAGAGGCTCAAGTTTGTGCTTGGTGGAGTGGGTGCGGAGGTCTGGTCGTGGTAAAATGTGATTTTAGGTGTTTCTGGGGATTGGAGTTTGATTAGATGTCGTATGAGAGGACTCGGTCTTGTGGAATCAAAAGTATGATAGGTTTTTTAGTTTTGGGAATGTTAGATGGTAGAATTTACGACATGTTCAATCACTATCTGCTGTCTGCTTTGAGTGCCTTTCCGTGATCAGATAAGAGATGAGGCGTTTGCATAAGAGATCCAAGATATTACATCACGTGGATGATTTCAAAAGAATCCAATCCTGTTGTCTCGGGGACTTGGTGGATGTAGATAGGCGTCGAGATACATGATAAAGCCAAACCTTGATGATAATCATGTGAACGATGCCCAATAACCAGACGAGCTACAGAGTATGCCATACATACGTGATCTTGTCAGGATTTTGAGATGGCATGATTTTAACTTTGAGTCCGTAACTGATTTATAGCTAATGTTGTTATCTGTTGATATTACATTTCTACCATATTCTATACACTTAATTGCGCTTATTATCATCATATCCAAGTCTTGATTAAACCTTCATCAATTCTTTGTTCAATTATTAATCTTAATACTCGGCATTTATTCAAGATGTTTCGCCTCGTCAAATCCTCAACACTCAGCTCTACACTTAGAGTTGCACGGATACCATCGCTCAGTTAAGCAAGGGTATATCGCACAAAGCCTCGACTTCAAAGAAAACCGCTGGCGATTCAGTACGAGGTTCATTGAGCGATTCACCTATTGGGTTTTCCAAGCACTACCGTCGTGGCTCTTTGGACGTGGGAGAATAACTGGACAAGTAGCCAAGATCAACCAAAATACGTTGGCTAGACACGCTGTGCCCAACGATAACTACCATTCCTACTCATCGTGCTTGAGACAAGAAAGAAACGTGGTTGTGTCTTTGTGGGAATGGAAGCGTCCAAGCTTGAACAGAAGTGGAGCTATTGAGAAATGCCAAGACATTTATAATCCCTTGCATTTTGATGAGATTGTCCAATGGTCGAGATCGGCAAACGACAGCCGATAACCTTTGAAAGTCTAACAAGTGACAGTGTAATAACGATATATAAATGCCACGGTTGAAGCAAATTTCCAGTTACACAATGACGCTATGATAGACATGTTTCGTAAAAAAGCACCAGCCATGTAACTGCAATTCAAATTCTGAGTAAGCGTAGGGCTGAGTCGAACAAGAAACAGAAGCACTGGCAACCCAAGCGCTAAGGAATTCCCGCTTCTTATATCGATTGTTACATGTCTTATTAGCAAGGATAAGTGAACTGAAACCTGTAGGTCTATAATATGTATGTCTTTGTCTTGTTTCTCTTAATTCATGTCTCGGACCGAATCTCTGGAAATGTCTGTATACCTTTGGTCATTGATAATAATTAAAGATTCTTGTGGTTGCTTGCAAATGGTGATGTATCGAAATAACAAGAGAGAGAGCATCGGCAGTTGAGAAATGACAGCATCAAAAAACCCATTTGCAGGGTTCCATCAGTGATTGTGACCCCCGGAATATGACCTACGCAAGTGGACCCTTTCCTTATTGTACCTGCATTAGTGCGAGTTATTCAAGAACCAAGTTTCCAAGCGAGAATGGAAGTGGGAATTTGAGAGGAATGCTGATGGAACGACCTTGAATAAAAGAACTTGGTATCTTTCTTTGACGGAAAAGAAAAGCCGGATGCGGCCTAACAACTTAAGTTGCACCAACTCTCCTTGTTTCTCCACTGTCGCCTGCAAGCTGGGAGCTTTGGCTGTTTGCAAACATGTCCGTTGAAATTTTAGCAATCAATATGACGCCCGTATAAATCGGGCCAAAGCTCACTTCTTACTAGTTTTCTTTCACTTCTTCAACTTTTTTTTTTACTCTCACAGTCTTTCCCTCTCTCTATCTCTTCAAACTATTGTCATTCTTTTCTACAAATAGTCACTCTTTTCCACGTTTTGTTACTCAACTCTACAAGTTGTTGGGTGTTAAATCACTTTTCTTATCACGATTACTGTCACTACCCAACACCGCTAGCATCATGAAGTGGCTCACTCTCGTTCTCGCCTCGGCTGCCGTGATCACTGCTTCGCCCATCGCGTCTTTGTCTTCCATCTCGCCAACCGGACCGTGCCCTCAGGTAAGTACATGATATCAAGACGCATGCAAAAACAGCTCTGAGCTAATCGAGTCTCTCAGTCCAAAATCGATGCCATCCTTAGCGGTGAAATGGATGCTTCCGAGTGTTGCTCCTATGGAAAATGCAAGGGCGATGTAGTCATCTCGGTTGGTTGATAAGCCTACGGTCTTTACACGCAAGATTTTACGACGTTATGATAAACAGCACTGGGTCCAACGAATTAAGAGAGAATCCGACTCAACTCGCAAAGGCGGGTTTTACATACGGTCTTTTGTTAGACGTCATTGAAAGAGAGGATAATCTGATCGAACTGTCCTATAGTCCGCAAACCGATTTTGGGAGGAACTCGTTATACTCCACAGAGGGGAACGGATGGACCATGTTGTAAGATCTTTCATGAAGAACAACCCAGTTACACGAACTATGCAGTGTATAGTCAATGGGAGGAATGATTATGTGAAGAGTCGTTCTATTATCAGACAAGATCTGAGCTGAATGTGAAATGATATCCAATCAAGTGTACGTGATGAATAGACTGCATCTTGCTGTCATGTTGTTCAAGCTTTCTAATTCTACTGCTCGAGTCACTTCCCAACACTCAAGAACTTGACTACTTGATGGTGATTAAGAACAAGACCAAGGTCAATGACATCAACATCAGACTGTGAGATTTAGAAAAACTACCTATCAGCACTGGTTGCGGCCCGTCTACAGGTAGTGGGTAACACAAGAGTTAATATATAAGCATCAGGGTACAGCAACAAGCAACCTAAACGTCTGGTCTGATGATCATATGGAGACGGACTGATTTCATCACTTATACTCCATGGCGGCCAACTTTTCTGATGATCGAGCCTTCCACCAAAACGTCGATCCTCTCTCCTACTTGACTTACTTTTGTTAAGTAGGTTGAGGGATGGCAGAAAAGTAGACTCAAGCTTTATCGTAGAAAGCTGAACTGTGTAGCCTTATTTCCTTCTCCCCATCACCTATCGAAGATTCGTCACAACATGAAACCCCATCAAGATTTATTATTTGATTCTGTCAATATTTACTCTACATACATTGTCATCAGGCACCATGCCTTGCGAAGAGACACTAACCCACTATTCACTTGGGTGGCCTCCAGTTTACAGGCGAACAAATAATACAGTCACAAGTTTTCACATGTTGTATCAACTTACTAATGCAGATAAACAAAACGCATGGCATATTCAGCTGGGAATGGGATTGAATGAGGCTTTGCATTGAAGTGACCTTAGGGTCAAGAGAAACGGCGGGAGGCTTTGAGCTAAGTAGAAACTCACTAATATCCCTTCTAATTTTCCACTGTTTTTCTAGACCCTGGGAATGATTGTTTTTCTGGTGAGATAAGATCTGTCACCACTCAATGTACCGAGACAATGACCTCGACAAGGACAGTGAAATCTGTGATAAAGTAGCGAGTGGATAACAAAAAAGAAACAAATAACCTAAAGTCCGGTCCAAGTGGCATAAACCGACTTACTGATTTCGTCTCTTGTCTTTCTAGTGGCCAACTTTCCTGATCCTGGCCCAGACTACCCAACAAAAGTAAGTCAAGTGGGAGTCGATCTTGATCCGGAAGTCCCTTGTACGGATGGTCACGAGGGGCAAGCCATGACGATGCTGCTTGTCAGTGAAGCATTGAGTTTGAAGTTTGAGTGGGCACATACAACGCTATTTCTCAGTACAATACCGGGTAGACGTTCTCCAATTATTCTATTTTTTTTTTATATTTTTTTTTTGCAGCATAACATCATGCCTCGGACGCTGCAGTCGTCCCTTTTTGAATTCATGTTGCAACGCTGGGCTCTGCTTTTATTGTATTCACCTGATGCGATCCATGGATGTTCTGGCATCTCAATCCTTCGGTTGGTCGGGGATGCGTCGGCGGGGCATCCGTGTTAGCAATGGATCCTAGCATCAATTACCAAAGTGTGGAGCGGCCAATCCGCTTTCACTGTAACTGCAACTAACTTGGACCCAAGCCCTGTAAGTACAGGGACATGCACACCATCTCAACCGCTAACCTGCTAAGCCTAGACCAAAGGTCAGTCTTTACATTCAGGCCATCAATGTCTTGCCAATGTTCCATCTCAAGACATATTGTCTTCGGCAATGATTTAAGATATACGGAATATTAAACTATAGATTGATCGAGAACCAATAGCATTCTAATACATTCATGCCGCTGACAAGTTATTTCACTCGCTCCTTCAGCCTCCAAAATACTACCAACTCGAGAAAGGTATCAAAGATAACATCTCGTCACGTCAGAGGCGCTTCTCTCCCCGCACGCACATGCAGTCTAGGTAGGTTGCTTGATGCATGCAACAGACCTGGAGCTACCTGACAATATTGACACTCATTCTGCAGCGCATCACGAGCTTAGCTTCCACGTCGGCTACCGTACGGAGAATAAGCAATGCTTGATCGACGATTGCCGCAACAAGAGCCCAATCCAATGGCCTGATATGTCATAACACCAGGTCTTTGGTTGAAGAGCTTAGAACCTTCTGCAACGGTTAAAGCTCACGGACGTTGCCCAAAAGCAATACTTTGACATGTTGAAATTATCAATGGATCTGTCCAAGAAAAGCCTCACAATTCCTTGTCTTAGCAGCACAGGGGTACCTATATCATGTAGAACCACATACGTAGTAGTCAACGTCTTGCTGTCTTTATTCAGGGTCCATTTATGACTTTCAAAGAGATAAAAACATCAGACGATGGATGGGTAGATTGTGCAGAGGCTGAGGTGTCGTTGAAACCATACTGCACAGTACAGACAAGTCTAGACCCAACTAATTTCACTTATATCTTATGACGAAAGCGACACTTCCACGATGCAGATGCTGCATTGTACGTAGGATCAACCATCCGTGACAATTGAGTCGAGGTAACCCAAGATCATTGATTGGAGAGGCAATTCAACTTGACGCTCCTTCCAATTTATGGTTCATTTACCCCAGCTCCCGTTCTTGCTTCTATTGGACCACCATCCTAACTCATTCTCCTGAGCTGCCTTAGGCTCGTTGCTTTCACCACCATCACCACCACTTGGCTGACACCATCTTTTGAACAAAGCCCCCTCCTCTGACCAGGATAAAAAAAATACATATCAATATCTTTCTTCTCCCTCATTGGCAATTCAATTATCATTATCTCTCTCGCCTTCTTATGCCCAGAGCTTTGTGGCCATCGTCTGTACGGCCCAAGTTTCCTAGCGTCGACTGCTTACAGCTCTACTGGTACCGGCTTGGCTGCCGAGGCGACGAAGTTTCTCGCCCGCTCAGCTATCAGCTACCGAACTCAAAGCTAGCATCTCTACGGATAGCTCTCCCCAGATCATCGTCAAGTCCCCGCCGCTTTCTTCTGAGACCTCCGCTAGACAAAGCTTGCTTGGCTACGACACTGTACATTGCCATCTCATCTTCCCAAGCTATAATTCTATCTCAGGAACAAACAAAATATTTTTCATCTAGCAAAGGAACCATTTCGCTAATTCAGGTATGGCCTTTCATGACAATTCCTTCACTGTGCAAGTTTGCGCTGTCCAAAGCACTCAACCAGCCAGTCCTTCTATTAGTCTGCGTTGCGTTGCTCGAGCCACCAATGCTCCCAAGCTTTCCGCAAGCAAGCTCTGCCCGGTCAGGTATCGGTACCTTGCTCTAGGGCATTCGCTAACGCATCGTTCTCCAGGTTTGGCTGGCAAATGGACTAGGGACATAGAGTCTCCTGCCTCGCTCGCCTACCCCTCAGCCCAGTCCCGTCCCCTGATCAGAAGATCACATCAGTCCAGGCTCTTGTTACTCTGAGGCTCTCCCCACTTCGGCACCCTCCACAACTTCCTCCTCGATCCACCTTCTCATTCATCATAAAGGGTCATTGCGACTCCAGATCAATTTCCCTTCTGATCTGCTCTGCTCTGCTTTGTTCTGCTCTGCGATAAAGTCTACGGCGCGCATACAGCTAAGGAACCCCTCCCCTGCTGCGCCGCCCAATTACAACTTGAGTTTTCCATTAAAAGCTTCTGCGCCACCCTTGTACCTGCTATTAGGTGCGAAAGCAACGGCAGTATTAAGCTTGAGGTTTCATACCGCCCGCGCACTCTCTTCAGCACCACTTAGAACCTGGTCTTGTGTGGTAATCGCATCTCGACACAACCTGAGCATTCGGCGCATTGCATCGCACCGCAACGCAAAAGCCCAACAGCAAAAAGCAACAGCGACACCGCAACATCAACTGGTCGCGACACAGCACATCACCTAACATTACAGCACACAGCACACAGCACACAGCACACAGCACACAGCACACAGCACACAGCACACAGCACACAGCACGACACACTGCAACGCTGTTCCGCGACACGCGACATATCCCCTCCTGCCACGCTCTTCCACCAAACCATTCTTATCCACTACTGTCTCTTTGAAGCGCGCCGCTGTCATTCTCCCCCCGCCTTCCGACTGCATTCCGCAAACTCACTTTGGGCTCTTTCCCCATTCCCTCATTCGACTTGCCCACTTTGTGTGCCCGCCCGTCACCAACTCGCGATCAACCATCTTCAGCCAACCTGTTCAGCATATTCTCATTGACTGCAGTGGCCGACGCAAGCTTCGATTTGGAGTCACGATAAAGGCCGTGTGATCACTAACTGTTCGCCACCGCCGCCGCGTTTCTTGCCTCATCGCCGCCCCTGGTGCAGCATTAACCCCGCGTTACTCTCTTGGTGTCGGCCTTTGCGCGCTGCTTTCGAGCTCTTTCACTGACAATGGGCTATGATTGAGTCTCCTTTGTCGCTACAGCCTATATCAGTTCTTACACAGCTTTCACTCACGAATGGGTGCCTAACTGCGCCCTTCATTCTTATCCGACAACTTGAATCTTCTGTTTGCGCCTGGGGTTAGACGCGCTGGTGTTTAGATATTCTGCCGCCTTCAACCAAAACTAATCATTCACCTTGGCTCACGCCGCACTGGTATATCGCAACCACACATTTGCGACTCTACCAGTATTGCAGTTTGGCAAGACTACATCTTCCCGACACCGATCACGGCATCGGTGTGCTCTTTCTTACGTTTTATCTGCTTTCACGATCTAGAATTTGGCACGTGTAACGACATAGTCTTTAGATATACTTGAGATCTACATCTCTGGTAAGTCACACTTGCTGCATCTGCAGCTAATCTGGGTCATGCTTTGACCAAGATTCTGCCTCATTTCTCAGGTCGCTTTTCATGTACTTTCTCTTCTTGGCAATCGTTGTCTGGATTTCGTTCTTTCTCTTAGTTTAGGGGAGCCACTTATTCGCCGTTTTTCATGACACTCATTTCACAGTTGGACTACTCAGCTAACCATACACAGTTGCGTTTCTATCACTTCTCAAAGAATCTTTTACAGCTTACAGCTTTATTTCACCATCGGATTTGTTTCCTCTACGTCTTTCGGAACACGATAAGCTTGCGCTAGCTAATTTGCCCTATAAAACCCCCCCGGAACCTTAAGCAGCGGAACGACACTGAACCAACTGCCTCTGTGATACTAGATTCAAAGAAAGAAAACTTAGGTAGTTTGTTACTGGACAATGAGCTCGGGTCCTCTCAAATCCGGTCCGTCTGCAAGACTCGGCCAAGGATCTCATCCCGCAGGTCCAGGCAACAACCAGTCATTGCTGCTCGATAAGTTGCACGCAAGGACATCCACGCCTGATTCCGAGGCTCTTGCTAGCTCAGACGACGAAGGCGACCACCGATACGAATCTGGGCAAGTAGCTTCGCAGGCTACATCCCAACCACCCAGGCCCGTTCGACGACCTTCGTGGTTAAACGAAACCTCTCAAACTCTAGGCCGTCCTCGCAGGGGCTCTATTGCTAGCAACTCAATGTCTCCAACTACCTCGCATCCCAGTACGCCATCCGGTGAAGCTGGTGCAGGAGCGTGGGGATCTCACCCAACCTCATCCGTGATGGGCCGAGGAACAGGCGCATCAGCTTTCCCGTGGAGTGGTAATATTTGGAATTCGGAGCGTAAAGATCCCCCAGCGCGGCTCAGTGAAGTCTTGCCTTCTCCGACATCGACACTGCCCCCAGGTGGTGGCAACTCTTTTTTCAACACAGAGATACAAACATCTCCGGTTTCACGAGATCCTGGGCCTAATCCTCAGATCCCGTTTGCTATTCCGCTTCACCCCACTCCTAAAACGTATCGATCACAGTCGTATTCTGTTGGGCAAATGGATCCTGAAAACGCTGCCGCACCACCTTCAATGAGCTCCTCGGCCATGATGGGTCGTGCTCGTCACCACCCCGCACTGCAGCACCGACCCTCGCGCCCTAGTATGTTGAGCGAGATGGCAAACGACGGGTCGATGCTTGGCAAGGTCAAGGAAGTGGAAGATGACGATGATGAGAGCCCGAGTGAATCAATGCAGAGTTCCTTTCACCAGTCCTCTGATGCGAAAACGATTGAAATGTTGGCGCGCGAAAACGCTATGCTTCGTCAACAACAACAACAACAGCAGCAGCAGCAGCAAACGCAGTACAATAATGCACGCATCAGACCCCGCGCAGTCACTGGAAATTCATACACTGGAAACGGCTATTCTCTGCGGGAAACGGTCCCTGAAACATCCGACTATGCTATTGATGAGCTCGACGAGGCAAACGAGTCTGGCGATATGTTGGCCAAACGCGCAGCGAACAGGCGAATGAGTGAACTTGGAGGTGGGTTCCGCTCGCCGTTTGGTGATAACCGCAAGGCCGAAAACGCACACCTTAAGAAAGCAGCTCTCGGCTGGTCGAGCTCACTTGCCTTTTCTCCTTCTGACATCTCTCAGAGCAGAAGACACTCTTTTGCTACACTCCCAACTCGTCAAGCCTCCATCAGCTCTATCCCTGATTCCGCACTCGAACCTTCCGCACTCGACATGCAGCAATCTCAGGATTACCCTCCGGGGTATCCCGACCCCGCTTCGTTTGGAGGCGCTTCTCACGGTATGGCAGAGCCCAAAACCACCGCAGCTCATGTGCTAACATATAACCTAGCCAGCCAGTACTTTGGCGGAGGACCCAACATGGGCGCCAACATGGGGAGTGCGTACCAGACTGGTTATGCCAGCCAGTACCCGTCTCCCTACGGTTTGCCCAACTCGTATGGCAATCGTGCGCCTTCTCCTCATCGCAGTGTTTACAGCATTGCACAACCCCGCCACAACCAGCTCCTTCACATCGTTCTGTTCAAATGCGCTCGGGCTGACGTGTTCTACATTCAAGAGGGCACTGGTCTCACTGTCAAGCCTGGTGATCTGGTGATAGTAGAGGCTGATCGCGGCACTGACCTGGGAACTGTCGCTAAGGACAACGTTGACTGGCAAGCCGCCAAGGACCTCAAGGAACACTACGCCGAAGAACAGTACAAGTGGCTCATGATGTACTCTCAAGGTGCCGCTGCCGCGCAGGAAGGATCCAGCGCGGGTCTCCTTGCCTCTTCCACCGGTCTTCAAGGAAGCGCGGTTGGAGGCATGGGACCTCCCAGCCAGCACCATGCGCAGGAGCCCAACGCTGGCGAGCTGCGACCCAAGCTCATCAAGCGTCTCGCCCAGAGCCATGAGGTCCATGCCTTGCGAGACAAGGAAGGTCAGGAGGCCAAGGCAAAGCGTGTTTGCATGCAAAAGGTCAAGGAGCACGGCCTTAACATGGAGATCCTTGACGCTGAATTCCAAATGTGAGTATTTTCATCACCTGTAAAGTGAACACAGCTAACATTGTCTGCTTTAGGGACTGGAAGAAGTTGACTTTCTACTACTTTGCTGATTCGTACATCAACTTCAACTCCCTTGTCACCGATCTTTTCAAGATCTACAAGACGCGAATCTGGATGTCTGCTATTAACCCCGCCTCATTCGCTAGCCCTACTCTTGGTATTCAAGCCCCCAGCGGCATCGGTCCTGGTGCCGTGAACGCCAACCGTGGTGCGGGTGGTAATGACCGACGCCAGAACCAGCAGGCTCATGAACCTCACCAGGCACCCGCCTTCACTACTGGAGCCCGAGATGGTCGAGGATACCGCCCAGCTTTCAGTCAGCCATTTGGCAACGAAAGCCGCCTTCAGCAGCAACAGCAGCAAGCGTCTGGGTACCCTCCATCCAACTACCCTTCCTACCCACAGTTCGGTAGCCCTTTCACCAACCCTCGAACCAACGTTGGTTATGGTCCTGGTGCTATCGCTTCCCTTGAAGGATATCCTGGAGCAGCTGTTCCTCAGCTCGGAGAGTACCAGTCCATGCGCCAGCGCTTCCCCAACCCTCAGTCGGGACCAAGCCCTGCGCCTCACTCTCAGGCTACCTCCCCTCTGGCTCCCCAGAACGACTGGGTGGGAGGATTTCAGGGCCTCTCTCTCAACACTCACTAATGTTGTTACGCATACGTTTGGCGACCACGAGAAGTCTCTTCTCAGTCCACTCCTTTCCATCAAGACCAATCGCAGCAGTCTCTACTCCATGAAAGAGAAACAGCTCGTGTCTAAATAATGGAGCTGTTGGCCAGACTATCGGATTCAGAAGCAGAATCAGAACTATTCCTCACTGGACTCGGGAAATGGTTATTTGCTTGTGTTTTAAGTTTCGCGCTAGGATTCCGGCATTCCCCTTCTATATGTTTTTTGGGCGTTCCTAGGTATCTTTCATTCGACTCCCGATGATTATGAGATTGCCTAGCATCTGTTTTTCGATTTCGTCATTACTTTGTTTAGGATCAGTGATCCAACGGCCGCTTACGACAGGGAGTAGGGGAAGAAGACAAGACGACACGGATGGCACGGTATTGCTTTTACAGGCTGAGATTATAGACAGAAAGACCCGAGGGTTTCGCATTTAACGCTGTAACTAATATGCGACGAAAAAAAGGGACATTGGACGATATAGCCGGAATCATGTACGACAAAGACTTCCTTTACTACTACTCATTTGCTTTTATACGTGTGCTTTTTTTCCCTTAGTTGGGTTTGCTTTCGAGGATTTGCGTGCTCGGTCTGAGGCCTGAAAATGAGGCTCTGTGTGTGATAGATTAAATTGGAGCTCAGGTATCACCCATACATAATGTTTTCGTAACTTTAAGCCTCAGAAGTGATTGTAAATTCCATGTCCATCCAGAGATGCTTGCATGCCTCCGTAGAATGTGGTGAGGAATGGCTGGCTTGTGGGAAGGTGCGGGCGACTCGGTTCTTGCCATGGAACTTGTGGTCGGAGCAAGGGCGTGCTTTCCCTTCCTCTCGACTCCAGAGGCAAATTGGCGTCCCTCAAACATGATCAAACATCTACATTTACTTTGTTCAAACATTTCTATCTACTTTGAAACCAATTATCTGAACCAAGAAGAACCCTGTCTTTGGTAGCAATTGCCGAATGCTGCAGCATTACTCTGTATCTCAACATGGCCCCCCAAACTCGCAAGAGAAAGGTTTCTGCCACTGGCAAGTTTTTACTATTGGTGTACACGCGCAAACATGCTAACAACTGGGCAGAGAGCAACGATCCACAAGATACACCCCCTAAGAAAACAACACGAGCCGCGCGAAAGACGGCTCCAAAGGCAGCAGGACAACGAAAAGGCAAGACCGCTACCAACAAAGAGGTGGATTTTCCGACAAATTTACAAACAGCGCAAGGCAGCGAAGCAAAGAAGCAAGTTCAGAAGCAAGGAAGCGATCTTGTCAAGGAAATTGATAACGAGCTCAAGACACGAATGTATGTGATTCACTACTTATACAACAAACTTTTTAACTCGAACAGTCCGCAGATAGACCACAGTGAATTGATGAAAGACCTCTCGCCAGATCTTGCCACTGTTCTACCTTGGATGCGCTCTTCGCCAGCTTCGGCCAAGGATACACAAACATACCCTCAACTATTGCTTAAGGCTCTCGATGATCTACAAATCCACGTCAGTGCTTACGAGAGAACGGTCAACCAAGATACTGGGATCAGGGCGCCGAATCAGATGCGCTGGGTGCAAGATGCTAAAGACTTGGAAGGCATGAGCCAGCATGGGCTACAAATGGTTACAAAGATCATCAATCACACTGTCATGCCTGACGTTTACGAACTTCCTACCAAGCCTGACGAGAGTGAAAGTGGTGTTGAAGAAGTGGCATGGGAGCTCATCGAGGAAGCTCTGCCGGAAGAGTCTAATGAGATATGGGGAAAGATTGCTCAGGGTCATGTAAAGGCTTTGACTGAGGTGATGAAGGTACTTCCAGTGGGAGAAGAGGAGGTAATCTGTTCGGAATGAGCTATCTGTATTGGGATTTGGGAATACGGTATATTTCAATGGGGAGCTGTCGGGATAAGAAATGAAGATATGTTGATCTTTGATCAGCAGTGGAAGGAATACCAGGATGTTCAACTACATGTTCAACTTGATGAATTACAACCAATCACACAGCACTATTTGACTGTGTATTGTCGAATGTCGTTTTGTAAAATATCACGTGATAGTTCTCAGCACGGACCAGTTTCTGAGGGGAGCCCTGGCTGAGTAAGCTGCTAAAGGCATCGCTTAGCCCACAGGCCACAATTTTCTACGACGGAAACTTGTATTATCGGTGGTTCTTTTTCCTTTTGAAAATCTTCGACATCCTACTAACCACCAGGACCTCGACCAAGCCGGTATGTGAACCCCCCGTTCCCCCTTCAAATTCTTCTTCTTGCAAGCCTCTTTGTTTTTCTCCTTCATTTCCTTTCGCTAACCTCTCATCGTTCGACGACAACAGCCAAGATGGGTGCCCTCAAGTACGTCGAAGAGCTTCAGAAGAAGAAGCAGTCGGATGTCGTTGCCTTCCTCCTCCGAGTTCGCTGCTGGGAAGTACGTTAAACCACAACATAATATGCACAAGATTTCTCTCCCCATGTGGACGGCGGTCAATCTGCTCTCGATCTCTTGTTCTCTCTTGCGTGTCCGAAGCGTTCGATTTTTATTTTCTGTGTGGGGTTTTTCAATACTCCGCACTGGGAAGAAAATTCTCAATTCGACGAAGTCAACACATTGTCAGACAATGTGTACGCAATGGACACACCGATGAAGAGAACTTGAGACGGAGCGGGCTGGTTTTATACCCCGTCTCTGCTATACACTCGTTGAACATTTGCTGAGAGTGCATCAATATAGCTCCGTCAATTGAACGTCATCCACCGCGCCTCTCGTCCTTCCCGTCTGGACAAGGCTCGCCGTCTCGGATACAAGGCCAAGCAGGGCTATGTTATCTACCGCGTCCGCGTCCGCCGTGGTGGCCGCAAGCGCCCTGCTCCTAAGGGTGCCACCTACGGTAAGTTTCCATGCTCAAAGCTCCAAAACGAGGGAGTTCGATTTCTAACGCACAACCAACAGGCAAGCCCACCAACCAGGGTATCAACCAGCTGAAGTACCAGCGATCCCTCAAGGCTACCGCTGAGGAGCGTGTCGGCCGCCGCTGCGCTAACCTCCGAGTCCTCAACTCCTACTGGATCAACCAGGACTCTACCTACAAGTACTACGAGGTTATCCTCGTCGACCCCCAGCACAAGGCCATCCGCATCGACCCCCGCATCAACTGGATCGTCAACCCCGTCCACAAGCACCGCGAGTGCCGCGGTCTTACCGCCACCGGCAAGAAGTCCCGTGGTCTCAACAAGGGCCACCGCTACAACAAGACCAAGGCTGGCCGCAGAAAGACCTGGAAGCGCCACAACACTCTGTCCCTGTGGCGATACCGATAAACGTCTCGCCCCCTGGCTGGGACGTTTGTTTTCGCACCACGGCTGTCTGGTTGTACTCGCGATTTCGATTTGGGAGGGTCTGGCTTTGGCACTGCATGCTTGGACTCTGGGGAGTCGGGAACCTTGTTTGGTAGCATAAAAAATGGAATCAAAAGTAATTCCAAGTTCATGATTAAGATTAAGAATACCTACGGTTTCCCGGCTAAATATTGCTTTCCAAGATGTGATTTGACTGTCTGTGAGCTTGCCGCTATATAGTATCACTTCAAACCAACCTGAAACTGGATTAAAAGGTGAATGAGTTGAAGCTGTTGAAAGATGAGGCCATCCCGACATTTGCTACTGAAACTGGCTCACATTACCCGTTAGGAAGTCATGGGCATACTATATCAGCATGTGTATACAATCAGCAATGTTCCTATGTGTATATGAACAGCAAAAAGTCTTCACATGCTGCTAAAATTCTTGTTTTGCTGCCTCTCTGGCTGGGAAAATTGTTAAACTTTGTGGATCTGGCTTTTCTCGCAAGCAGGTCCCTTCGATCAGTAATTTGGATGATTCTTGTGGCGTTTTGGGCTGTGGCTTGACACCTAGGCAGATCAATTAAGCGCGTCATGTATCCAGCCGCGTCTATCAGAGTCACTTAACGCGTGAACTACACATAACTCTGCCATCATCATCAAATAGATCATTGAACCAGGAGCATCTAGAGAATAAGGCGTTTATTAAAGTACAAAGATTTGAATACTTGCAAACCTCCTAGTTTGAACTTCCAGAACGGATAGAACTACTTGGGTATTGACTACTCCATAACTTCTCGATTGATATCTCATCTCTCACTTACACTACCCTCACTCACTTTTACATACACCCATGTTTCATATAACATCGTCCTCATGACAGACCTCCTCCAAATCCTCCCTTCCTTCCATCTCCGACCTTTTGCCGCTCTCATTCCCGCCATTGAGCAAAATGCGCTCTCGACAACAGATCTTCTGACTCTTCATCCTACCGACATCGCAAAACAGACGCGACTCCCTATCCTCGATCTCAAGCGTCTCATAGCTACAATCTCAGCCTCCCTTTCCGACGATCTCAGCCCACAGCAGCCTCTTATAGAATCAGAGCCTGCTCCTGACTCCAGCCCGGGGAAGAATGTCATCAGTACTCTTGACGATGGCCTCGATGCTGCTTTAGGGGGCGGCGTGCCTGTGGGTGCAGTGACGGAGTTCACTGGTGAAAGCGGCGCTGGAAAGACCCAGGTCTTGTTATCTTTATGTCTTGCCGTCCAACTCCCTTCACCACATGGTCTGGGCCGTGAAGCTCTCTACATCTCCACCGAAGCCACAATGGCAACGAGTCGTCTCGCTCAGATGCTCAAGTCCAATCCCATTATACAGCAATACGATCAAGGTGCCCGCCCTTCCCTTGACGCTATCCATAGCACCGTCACTCCAGATCTGGAAACACAAGACCATATTCTCAATTTTCAAGTCCCTGTTCTGCTATCTCGTCATCGAATAGGACTCATCATTCTTGACTCTGTGGCCGCCAATTACCGCGCCGAATTCGAGCGTCAGGGCTCTCACGGTTCTAACATGGCCGCTCGGAGCGCTGAGCTCGTCCGTCTCGGGGCCCTTCTCCGTGATTTAGCTCGCAAGCATAATATCGCCGTTGTAGTAGCCAACCAAGTCGCCGACCGTTTCTCCTCCAGCTCAGCATTACGGCACATACCTCCTAGAAGCAGTGGCGCCGTCTGCGAGAGTCCCCTTGCTTCACGGAGTATGCCTCCACCATCATCTATAAATCTCCCCAGCACTCCGTCGTCATCATCACCTTTCGGTCCACAAGACCCTGATGGTCCACCACCGCCTCCAGCGCTGATGCTTGATCATCAGCAGCGCTGGTTCACAGGCTGGGGTGACGACCCTCACGCCTCATACTCGCTCAAGACGCCCAGTTTAGGTCTTGTTTGGTCAACGCAAATTGCTTGTCGAGTTGCACTGTTCAAACGACCTGTTTTCGGGCGTATAAGACAAGCTGGGCCGCTAACTACGGAGGACGATTCTGACTTGGCAGCCCCGACATTACGAGGATGGCGCAGATGGATGAAGGTTGTCTTTGCGCCTCATACACCCTCAACAGGTCAGGGCCTACACGGAGCGATTGAGTTTGAGGTCACCATGGGCGGATTAAAGTCTGTACAGTCCCAAAAGACGAAAGACAAGGAATAAATTTGAGGAAGAAAGCGCCGGCTGGCGGTTTCTTGTCTAGTCCGCAAAAAATGAACTGTGTTATCAGAGCTATATCAGATAAAGGACTTATGTATACACATCCCAACATAAAACAAACAATATAATAATACCTCTAAACTACATCCTGAAATAACTATATGCTATGTACAAGGTATACAAGTTCCTAAACTCCATTTCTATGCATTTCCACATCGTGCAACCCCCATTACCTGGGATGGGGGAACTCGTCATCCATCTGAAGTCGTACTCCAACATTCATACTGATAAGTTCCTGCACAAGCAGCTTTGCTGCATACGGCATCGTCATCTTTGTAACCTCCCTAGTACTCTTGCATGTGTGACAGTAACCCTTGTATCCGAACAGGCCGCACTGCTGGCAAATATCAATCTCGGTACCGTCTGAGCTGATCATCAGACGTTCCAGCAGCAGCTGGGAAGCACCATAGGCGATCAAACAATCACGTTCCATTTCTCCCAAACGTAAGCCACCGTCTCGCGAACGACCTTCTGTAGGTTGGCGAGTCAAGATAGCTCGTGGACCTCGGGATCGAGAGTGCATCTTGTCTTGCACCATGTGCTTGAGTCGCTGATAATAAATGGGTCCGTTGAAGACATATGCTTCCAAGGGTTCTCCAGTGATACCAGATGTAAAATAGTCCTTGCCCTCCCACGAGAATCCGTGGTCCACCAGCACCTGGCTCATCTCCTCCAGTGGGTGAGAGCGGAAAGCATCACCAAAGCCATAGTCGGGTCGGCCATGAATAATGGAAGCCTTTCCTGTGAGACACTCAAGCAGCTTACCGACAGTCATTCGAGAGGGGAAACCGTGAGGGTTCATGATAATGTCGGGGCTCAATCCACTGTCGGAGAAGGGCAAGTCCTCCTGTTCAACAATGATACCCACAACACCCTTTTGACCGTGACGAGACGAGAACTTGTCACCTAACTCGGGACGTCGAGTCTGTCTGGTCTGGACCTTGATGACGGTGGTATCCTTCTCTGTCTGCGAAATCATAACCTTGTCGATATAGGCAGGGTCTGCAATTCGATAAGAAACAGATGAATCGCGGAATTCGCCAGGTCCACGATCCAGTCCGATACCAGTGCTGGTCTGGTCGAGGGGCGTCTCCTTCTTGACCATGGCCTCGCCGCTGTTAACCTTATAACCAACAATCGCCAGACCATCGTCGTCCAAAGCCTCGTGCTTTGGAATGCGACGCTTTATTTTGCCATCGCCCTCGTTCTCAGGATCTCCAATTCGTTCCCTACGCCCGTTGGGGTACTTCTGCAATTCCGTTGTGTATTTTCTGAAGACTTGGCATCGGCCAAAGCCTCTGTCGACTGACGCTTTGTTCAGGACCAAAGCATCTTCAATATCGTATCCTGAGTACGACATGACAACAACGGTGGCATTTTGTCCAGCAGGAAGCTTGTCGTAGCCGATGAGTTGAATGGTCTTGGAGATAACCATGGGTCGCTGGGGGTAGACAAGGGTGTATAGAAGTGTGTCGATACGGTTAAACTGATTATAAGCGATTGCTCCAATGGCTTGTTTACCCATAGCACATTGGTAGGTGTTTCGAGGAGACTGGTTGTGGTGAGGGAAGGGAATCAATCCCGCAACAGCTCCTAGGACAGTGAATGGCTCGATTTCCAAATGAGTGGTACTCTGTGTCACTTGGTGTTCGTAAATGGTGATAAGCGCGTCATTCTCCTCGTTCACGTCAAGATATTCGACGATTCCACGGTTCAGGAAGTCGTCAAATGTGGCCTTGCCCATCTGGAGTAGTCGCAGATGTTCAGGCTTGAGCTTCTGCTTGCCGTTTTTGACAATGATATAAGGTCGGCAAATTCGTCCTTCATCAGTGGCAATATGAACAGCGTTGAAGTGGGTGTTAATGTTAATACCGACAAATGGAGAGATCCAACCTCTTCGACGCATCGTTCTGAACTTTTGGGCAAACCGTTTCGGGTATCGGGTCAAAGCGAACGGCGTACCGTTCACATGAATGATATAGCTCCCTTCCCGGTGCATCTCAGCACCGGAGAAGTTGCGGATAGGCTCGACACCAGCATCAAGTGTAAAGATCCATCGTTTCACGGGTTCTTCATCAACGTTGGTGGTGATATGAGTCATCAAAGCCAAATTCTTTACCAAACCACAGGCTTCACCTTCGGGCGTATCTGACGTACAGAGCATACCCCACTGCGATGGCTGTAACGCACGAGGACCGGATACCTTTCGTGTCTTCTCGAACTGACTGCTGATTCTTGTCATCATACCAAGAGCAGCGATATAGCTGAGTCGACTAAGGACATGGGTGACACCCGCTCGGTTCATATTGAAACGTTTGACATTCCAGTTTCCAGTTTGAATGGCACGGTTGATTCCGTAACCGATATTGTTGGCGTGATTGCTGATCATGTTCACGGCGTCGAGAGGCACAGCCCGGTTGTTCTTCTTCAAAAACTTGTCAATCGACATCCTGACGTTGGTGGTGAACTGCTTGAACAAATCTTCGAATAGGAGTGAGAGAAGTTGACCAGCAAGCTCAAGTCGCTTGTTTCCCACGAAATCTCGATCATCAACCAGCTTGGGGTTATGAGCAGCAATAAGAACCCTCCTTGTCATCATGGCCACGTAGATGGCCTTGGGGTAGAAATCAAGACCCTCGATGGGTACGTGAGCAATGACCAAATTGGCCAGGGCATCAAGACCTTCCTCGACGTGGTTACGGCGCACTTGAGGACCGAATATTCCCCTGCGAGGAGCCATCTTAACCCTGGTTCCAATGTACTCCAGAGCTTGATGCTGAGTGAAAACACCAACCTTGGTCGCCTCGTCAAAGTTCACTAGGAATTCATCCTGGTATCGTCCATCAGATCCTGCCACGAGCTGCATGATTTCCATGTCCGACAAGCCACCCAGAGCCTTAAGAATGATAACAATCGGGATTCCCTCCACCAAAACATTGTGTGTGAGGAGAATCCTGTCCTTCTTTAGCGTAACATAGGTCTTCGATTTTCGCTCGTGTGTTGAACTGGTGACTGAAGCCGAAATGATGTTGTTCTTCTCGTCCGCTTCGACAATGATACGGTTCTTGCTTAGTTGCTCCTGGATAAGAATGACCTTCTCTGTTCCACCAATAATGAAATAGCCACCAGGGTCAAGCGGGCATTCGTTCATCTCCTCCATCTTTGTGTTGTTCGCGCCACCAAGACGACATATGGAACTCTTGAGCATAACTGGCATGCGTCCCAGAGGTACATTCTTTCGTACAATTCTCTGCTTGTCTCGGATGTATTGGATATCGACGGAAATAGGCGCGGCGTATGTCATATCTCGTAGACGACACTCCATGGGAGTGACTTCAGTATGTGATTTAGCATCCTGCCAATCTTGTCGCCGAGGCGTGTCGACTCGGATATCTGTGAATCTAGACAACGCAGTCAGTAGGATGGACGGTATTAACATACTCAGGACCTACTCTAGCCAGAAATTGCTGTCCACTTCGCTTCGGATGGTTCGGTTGGCGCGCACGATATCCTTGATTTCCTGTTCGACGAAGAAGTTGTATGAGTCAATGTGCCTGGATTTCTTGTTAGCAATTACTGAAAGGCGCAACTATACTATACACGAGATGCATACTGCTTGACAAGACCTGGGTATAAATTAGCAACAGCACTTGTAAAAAATCGGCAATCTTACCCTTGACTTTGAGGAAGGCTGGTAAAAGCTGGAACTTGTCCTCCTTCGTGGAAATAGGATCAGTAAGCTTCTTGCCATTGTAAAATGGTTCTAGAAGGGCTTCGAAGCCATCATCGACCGTAGGCATCTTGAATGTCACCTAAGAGCGCACATCTACAACGGAAGATTCGGGTGCGTGTTTGCGCGGACTGACTACCTACTTTTTTTCTGTAGCAGCTTTGCGATAGCTTCGCAAAAAGTTCTTGCCCCGCGGTCATAGGTGGAGCCGACTCGGCTGGTTGCGCCACGGTGGGGGACGAGCGCGATGCGATAAGATACGGATCACGTGAGCTTCTTCAATTCCAGACAATACTCAAGAGCACGCATTACGATAATGAGTATACTGAAAGCCATGTAATATTATTTTATTCAATATCCTGTTCCTTGCATCGTTCTACTTTCCTGATTTCAGTTTTGTTGGGTTTGTATGAAGACAGACATTTTCAGTCGCCAGCTTACCCTATAACTGTCTATACTAACTGCAATAACATCCAATGTTGACTAACCTTGATGATCGTTAATGGAAGGACTGCTGCGAGCCACAGCTATAATTCGTTCACCTGATAGCACAGTAACAGAAAGTATCATGGGGATCCTCAATGGATATGCTGCGGCCACAATGGGATGGATCACCAACATCACTCTTGGCGTTGACAGTTAGCTTTCCAAGTACGTTGATCCTGACTTCTCGAGTTGCGACGTAGTAGAGTGGGACAGCAAAGCGACTAGGTACTAAGGCAGGTAGCTTGCTGGGCCACTTGCAACAGCAGGAGGTAAAAGTCGGTGAAGGGATTGAGCCTTCTTTACTGTGAGGGGGAAAGTTAGGTGAACCATGAGAGTAAACAGAGGCAGCTAGTGATATTAATGCACTTTGTGGTTGCCAGGTCGATTATAGCCACTGCTTTACTTTGTTTATAAATTATCGACTTGCATCTTTTAGGAACCTTTCAGCTCATCCAGGCTGCACATAATATCTGACCGTTGGGGTTGTGTACTGTATACCGGGAAAAAGTACCAAGCAACCATTCGTACAGCCAGTTCCAATGTCCCGTGTCTTTCAGGGATAATTTCTCAATTGTGCAAGAACAGTTCCTGACAACGACATACGCAATTCGCAGTAGAGTTAGCACAACCCGACGGCAGTGGCCAAACAAAAGCAGCTACCAAGTTTTGCTCTGCCTCCCGTGTGCAACAGCTTGGTCGAGGTGGACTTCGAACCGACGTAGCCGAGGGTCTTTTGTGAAACCCTGACATTGATATCGAACCAACACCTCGTGATCTAACAGATTTCACAACAACATTAGAAGCTGGCTGGCGTATACTAAAGGCGGTACTGGGTAAGGTCAAGGGAAACAGAGCGCCAAGTGCAACACAGACCAAGGCTATGACGATCCGATGGTCGGTCCCTGGTCGGGTTCAATCAACAACGATGCGATTTCAGTAAGGAGTCATGCTGCATCAGGTTTGACCTTTATGGGCAGCTATTGTCAGCTACGTATAGCTGACTTGAGGCTGAACAATTTTAAGCCCGTGAAGCGTCATGCGGATGAATGTTTGGAGGCGGTGAATAAAACTAAGAAACAATATATCGTCATGTGTCAATTGTTTGTGGCGGATGGGATGGCTGGCGACTCAAAATGCACCTGTGTTTCCGAAAATGGAGTGATGATACTTTCGAGGATTCGGTCTGTGACGAAATCATTGACCTGTCAAGCCAAACAAGCTCCTACGCCTGAGCGTTCCTGGCCGATAAATCAAGAGCAGTCTGGGGACGTGTTAGATTGACTGCTGCAGTTCAATATGGGTTTTTGGGTGACGTGCAGGAAGGACAACAACACCAACCAATCGGCGAGGTACAATGAGGGGACGGGGATGCGCGCTTGGTCCAGGTCTTGCGTGCCTTTGGAAGACAGGGGTCATGAGAGATATCAATCGCTTCCACTTCCCTTGAAAGAGCGCGGTCCGTTGATACTCATGTCTTGGCTGTTAAAGATCTCATCTCCCCACTGAATGAGAGTGGACACCTGGTACGTATCCCGGATTGTGATCAATAGAGGAAACCCCAGGTTGTGAAACTAGAATAGGCGGTTTGTCATGGTATTTAGAGTTTGAGAGGATTCATGGAATATGGACTTATCTCAATCAAAAAGAGGGACCTTCAGTGCGATCATCAACAACAACCTGTAAACTTTTGGATGGAGGTGACTTGAAGTTCCGTCGTAGTTAGCTTCCTTTTGTGGGAGGAGAAGCTGAAATGCAGGATCCAATAGCATCTGCGACTATCTCACCTTCCCTCCCCTGCATGTCTCAAAGCTTGTAATTCGTCCTTGTTTTCCATTAGCTCGGGATGTTGACGAGTTGTTATTTAGTGTGACACTTGTAGAGGTCAGGAGGGATAAAAACTCCGGTAAAGATTCACGGCTAAAGAATTATGAAGGAAAGATAGTAGGGTCTTCTTGTTGTATCTGCCACCGTTAGGGACCTACTATTATGATGCATAATCCCTGCAACCCTCCATTCTCTGTCAAGCTGCGGTTCAATGCAAGATTCGATCCAAGTGCTGTCGTAGCTTTGACGTCTACCAAAATACTTAAGCAGCTCATACAGAAGCGATCAGAAGGGACTGAAACAAGTCTGACTGCTTGACATGCTTGTCTCAGCATACGACGGGACCTTCAGCACATCTGATGGCTTGTACCACGCAATCATCATCGAAAGACCTTCCGCGGATTCGGACGAGAATATCCCGAGGCGTGTCTACACTTTCCATGGCGTCAAGAAGTTGGTTGGGCTTTGCCTCGATGAGCATCATCTTCTCATGAAAGAGTGAGACCCTGAAATGAACCGAACTCTCTGTTTCGTCACTTTTGGAACAAGTTAATAGACCAATTACGCACCACCTCACTAACATAGTTGATGTGCCTAGCCGTTGCGCGAAGTGGACATTGTATCCATCCATCCATCTCTGCCTCCGTCCCGTCCCCTGGCAGCTGGAGAGCTGGCATTTTATGGTGCCTGGCTTGGGGTCCACTGGTGGGTGGCCTTGTTAGTGGTTTTCTTGGATTCTTTTGGATAGCAGTTGCTGTCTGCAGCTGTTATTGAAAACAGTTTTATGTGTTTTGATATATCCGTCCGTCATATACCCGCAAGTACCTGTTTACAGCACGACACTGACGACTGTGATCCCAAGACTTTGGTTTGGTTAAGACGCATGTACATATCCGTGGTTTGTCAAGAGCTTTGATTTTGAGCTAGGCAGATGATACTTAGCAGGATGAGCTCGTCCTTTGCGTTGAAAACATATAGCTATAGCAGATTGACAACGAGAGCTCTTTTTTGTTTCACATGTATACAAATAAGCTTTGCTGTCGAGAAGGAAACTCATAGATTCTCCGAACCACTGAAACCTTGTCGTCCCCTGCAGTTCTTTGCCGTCCCTGGGACGCATCCTCGTTCATGCTCCATCCTTGACCTGTAACTGAACCCTGCATCTCGGGGCTTCAACGACTTGCCTTTTACTGACTGCTAGTCCCTGTCTCGTGTCCACAGCTCCCCACGTCTGACGCCGACCTCCAGAGCCGAGTGCCAAACATCCACCCGCCTTAGGCCAGGTTCCCATTCTTCTAGTGAGGTCCCATCACCGACTGGACGTTTTTTTCTTCTTCTTCTATTATCAACCTTCCCTTATTCCTTATTCATCGATCGCATTTCGCGCCGCCCAGACCTTTCCTCCAGACCAGCCTGTCGCTCCTGGCTTTCCAGGGCGCGCTGTAAGAGAGAGAAAGCGTGTAGACCATTGTACGATCACCGACACACCTATCTTGTGTTAGTTATTACCGAACAAGACACGCGCCAAGTATCCGTTGCACGATTGTTTACTCCCACCTACCTACGGAGTGTCATTGCAAATCTAGGTTGGTTCATCTTTTTTGTCTAGAGTTTCCGTCCGTCTCTGCTTCCTATGTCGAGATTTCTCAGGGAAGGAACCACCTGTACACCTACCTACCTTGGTAGGTAGATGTCTAGTACCTTCCTTGTCATCCTCGCAACTGTCCTCTTCAGCTTCCATTTCAAGGTTATCAACTCTACCTCGGCGCGCCGCACATCATAGCATCAATGCACCATCGAATCTTATCACTCTGTCCTGCCTCTCCTCTTCTCATCCTCGGCCAAGGGTAGCATAGCGCGGCGAATACAAACATGCACCCCGACTACCCACCGCCGCCCGCCGACATAGCGCAGCCCGGTATTCGTCCACATATTGATTGGCAGATGTCTATTCGGATGGCACGCCTACTGAGTAATGATCGTACGCCCATGCTACCTTAATTCCGACGATATGGCGAGCCAGACAGCCCTTCGCAACCTATCGCAAATTGTCGCTTGCTGGCTCAGAAGATAGAAGAAGACAGTCAGGAACAGAGTGTCAAGATGAAGATGATGTATTCGTTCGAAGATTCTCCCTCTCCGTAACCAGCGCCCATAGCACTATTGCCATCCTCATTGACACCGTCCGTCTCCCTCACCACCCTACCGTCTCAATATATCTTGGTGCTATTTCCAGTTGCACCATTCCGAACCCAACACTTCAACCTCGAAGCTCTGCTCTTTATCCATTGCTACAAAGACTTGTCGTCCGCGTGGCTTGAAGCTTCACCATCCCTTTCAACCCAACTCAGCTTCCTCTGTTCTAAACACCCTGCCTATCCTACATTTCCTTATGTTCTGTATACAGTACGGGTACAGACACATACACCCGTTACCTACCTATCATCACCCTGCTCGAGTCCACTGGCCATTTCAGTTCTAGTCGAGGCGTACCAACCTAGTCCCTATGAAACCCCCTACGAACCCCCTAGGCTACCTACCTAACTACGTTACCTGAAGGAGCCCAGTTCCAAGACACCCCCCCATTCCCAGTGCCATATCCACACTGACCACGTCCACCCCGCCTCTCAACAACGTTCCATCCAACGCCTTCGGCTCTTTTTGCTCTTTCTCTGCTTCATCTTCCATCGTATACAGTTGCTTTTGCTGACACTTGTCTATTTCTCTCATGTCTCTAGTGTCATAGACTAAGACCGCTTGCCAATTCGGCGTGTACTATCTTGTATCTATTAGCCTGCCATGGACGAACTACGCTTTCGCTCGCAGCAGTCCCCGAGGGGCAACGACCCGGCCATGCACTCGTTTGTCTCACCTCCTCGAAATACCTCCAGAATGCCGGCCCCCCAAGCCAACCCTCACGTCGGAGCTCACGATCATCGATCTGGTCTTCCCCGCCGCTTCACCACCGACTCTGGTCGAGTCCCGACACTATCTACCTTGGGTGCTCAGCGAGTGCCAGAACCTCCCCAGGATTATAATGTGAGTAGTCAAGATATTGTGGATTTACCACCGCTTGTCTGTTGTTTTGAGGTTTCTGATGACTTGTTTCTGTTTTGGGATATTCGGTGTCGCCAGCGTAGTATTAGTAAATGCTGACATATTTGATCGTAGGCGATGCAAAAGGTGCAATTGGTACGTTTTGAAATCGGTTTCCCGTCTAGCCCTATCACATAATCCACGACTGTACAATTCGAAGGACTCCCAAGTCCCAAGCGATGCGAAATTTAATGGTACAAGGTTTGGTCGCTGACTAACGGCAAACTTAGATCGAGAAGAAGAAGATGGAGTACGAGCGTATCCGGGAACAAAGGCGGCGTTTTGAACTCGAGATGCAAAAGTTGGACCAGCAACAACGGCGGGAAGCTTTGGAGCTTGCTCAGATGGAGGAGGAAGTGGGTAGAATGGGTGGTCACCAGTCCGAGCCAACAACACCCCCAGAATACCGTGACAACTCTGGGTTCCCTACGTTTTTGTCACGACCGAGCCGATATTCCATGTCCAGCTTGACCTCCCCGCCAGGTTTCTTTAACCGCGCCGTCCGATCCGGTTCGCAGCTTGCATCTCCCCAATCTGGTATAAGACAGGCACGATTCGGCTTCGACGACACCACAACACAAATGCCTTCTCGCTCTGTCCCAACTACACGCCGGAATAGTGACGACGAGAAGGAGGAGGCCGTTCGACAGGACCCAAGTAGCCATCGGTCGGGTAACTCGTAAGTAAACAAACCACTATCGCATGTTTCGCGAGCCTGCGTCGTTCCAAGTGGCAGTTATGGCCAAGATCCTGAAGTCAGGAGGCCTGGAGAAGCTTCGCCAAGTTCGGCTGGGAGGCGTGGATTTGAATGGGCTTGAGTCCAAGACACTGAGTGCTTGGTTCAAGTCGCAGACAACTACAAGAGGCCAAATACTGTTGTAGCGAATAGTATGAATTAGAGATTGAGCCAGCAGACTCTCTTGAGCTGAGTATGCGAGCTTCCTCTAGTGGGGAAAGAGACTGAAGGTATCGGTGGCAGAGGCAGTGATTCACTCTCGCTCTGACTTTCAGGGGATATAAAAGCCTGCAGTTGATCCCCTGCTCGAGTCTCAACCAACTATTCTCTCACACCACAACACTTCTCAGAACAACACTATTCATTCAGACCAGCCCTCTCTCTTCCTCAATTGCTTCGTACACTACACCCTGCAAACACACCATCGAAAAGAGCTCTTTCGTTGGAATCAATCCACTCTTGATTACTGTACTCAGTATCGGACACGCACTTCCAATTCATTCAGATCCTTCTTCAAGAGCTTTCCCAGAAAGACAAACAAACAAAACTAACCATGCCTTCAAACGACAGCATTAACCGCTACTCAATGCCTGTGACCCGTTCGCGCACTGGGTTGTACGACGTGGGCCTTGATCAGACGAACACTACTCGTTTTCTTTTTGGCGACGAGGATTCAAACGCACTGGGCCATAGTGTTCCTGACGAAAACTTTCCGACTCTCGTTCGCCGCGACGAACAGATGGTGAGTTTGCTTTTCATCTAGTCTTTATTCTTCATCCTGTCCCATACATTCTATTCCTTCGACCGTCTTTAGAGAGTTGGTGCTGTGGATAGTCAGTTGGGAGACTATCTTTCAGGATTTTATACATCCTCTCTTAGACCGAGACTCGCAACTGAGCTCCACATTCTCCCCAGAGGTGCAGCTTCACCTCAACTTTGCCCCTACCATTCACCTATTTACTTTTATATTTAACCTTTGTGCACAATTGTCTCCTGCCTCCTTACACAGGCCACATTGTTTTCTTTGTCCTTCTATTGTTGGCCTATTGCGAAACTAGATTTTGGGTTGCTCGAGCTCTCGAGTGCCCCACCTTGGATGTATTGCTACTATTGTTTCTTATTACCTGACCCGCATTGCTACATCCGACCATCTGCGTCCTTGGTCGCATGGAACCTTGCCCTATCACTCCCTCCTTAACCTGTACCAACTTTGTCCTCAAGATCTTGGAGTCGTGTTGTTAACTCTCATCCTCCTCAGCAGAATCTCTCGTCGGTCAACGGAACCTCCAACATTGTGAGCGATCTTGTGGGCCTCGCCTCTCGACCTGCTTCCCTCCGTCACTCCATTGACCTCAAGTACATCTCCGAGAACGCCATCGAAACCAGTTCTATGATGTCTCCCTCTGGTAACGGCAACATGGCCACACCCCCTAAGCTACAGGGCTCGTTCTCTTCGAACGATGTTCCGACTGTCAAGAGCCCAGGAGGTTCGTCCTCAAAGGCCAACACCCACGCTCAGCAGCATTTCCACAATCACAATGCCAGCCTCGGTCGAATTCCTGCTGGTGCAATCCATCGTGGCCACAGTCGTGAGCTTTCTTCCGACAACGCTGCTGTCAGCCGTGAGCAGTCTGGATACCCGTCCATACAGTCTGCCCTGCAGGCCAGTG